ACGTGCTACGGGTCTTGAAGAAAACGTTTTGGGCACTTTAAACGAAATCTGAAAAACATATTTCCATCGTCACTGAAAAATTTCTTCTGGTTAGTTTTACATGTCCTACAATTAACAGTTCTCAACTCTTCTCCAAAGGCACAAATTACACATGTCAACGAGGACACCCTCGGCAGCCTGAGAGTGTCACGTATTTCAGATATGTTCCTGATATTCCGAGTGGGAAGAAAAGTGCAGCGTCCATGGGTGTGACTGTTGTTAAAATAATCAACGACGAGCCTGATAAATCTGCAACTATGCCTTGTTCATTCTTTGATCTCCGAGTAGCTTATAATCCATGTACACTAAGAAATTCATACTGAGTTATGTCTTGAGAAGTGGTTGAAATGTCTTAATCAACACATTGCGCATTTTGGAGTTAGTGAGCCAGCTACATTCTTCTTGAAGTTACGCTGTCTGTAGTTTGACTGTCTTTTACGTATCTTAAACTTTCTTTGGAGATTTTTGTCCTTCATGACTTTCCCAGTCATGGATTGCTCTGGTAAGCTAGAACGTAACTGCTTATTTGCGTAAACTCACGGTATGATGCTTAGCCGACCAGCAACATTTTATCTACACAAATGTTCACACATTCACATAATACTCTATTGTAGTAAGTTCAGATTCACTCAGCTGTAATCGCCCGTTGAAGTATCTGAAACATCAATGACCAATGAGTTTGCAGCAGTTGAGAGGGATGAATGATAGAAGCTGTCCCTGCTGATGAGACCCATTCTTGCTGCGGCGCTGGTTTTCGTCATTTTTTTCCGTTATAGTCATAGTAAAAAGTGGTAACGCAATCGTTCACCTGCAACATTATTCTGGTGTCTAGCATCAATGTGACTCATAGGAACAACGAAGACTAAGGCACTCCAAGGTTGCTCAAGCCTAGACAAGACCAGTCAAGAAGCGGAGGTTTGGGTCGAACCAGGAACCTTCCGGTCAGTAAAGGCCAGCTTAGTGGTAGAGTTCATAGTCCCTTGGTTCGTCACCAATAGATATTTCGAACCAGAAACTAAAAATACCTGATTATTACAAAGAAGGACAAAACCGCTGATAGACTGGCAAAATTTTTCATCGAACTTACAGGTACTATTGGGGATCACCATTTGCTATTTATTGCAAGCATATCTGCCTACGCTCTACAACTAACACTTGGCTGAAAGGGTCCGTTTTTGGCCGGGCTGTTTTAAATATCATCACAACTATCCGAAATTTCCGGATATTTTGCTATCATGCTTCCCATATTAACTTCTAACTGAAAAGTTAGTAGAGATGCTGTGGTGTAGAAATATCTCAATGTTAGGAATAGTTTATTACCACCGAAAACACTAGACTACGACACTGATGTCATGCAGATCGATAACTCCTTGCATACGCCTTGCTTTCGAAATCAAACAAGCGTATGCTGAACCTGATCCAGAACTTGATTAAAAATTTGAGTCCATTGTCGGTTGCACTAAAATTCAATGACGATGAGCCACCCTGACTATGGGACATTCTGACCAAGAAGACAAAATTTGCAAGCAAAGTCCAAGTCTGATTGTCCCCTGGGACATCATATCCAGCGAAACGGCTCTCAGATGTAAATGAAAAGAGCGGCTAGAAAAATTCAACTCAACTAAGATTCCACCACATTATTTCGAACGATTTAACCAGCATACGCGAAAGGGACAGTGGGTGTGACTGCAAGTGTATTGCAGTATCTATTATCCAAATGCCAAAATGGGGCAGAAAACGCTTTCGACGTACTATGACATGCTTTGGTAGTCGGTTTCCAGCGATTGGTTTTTTTTGACAGGCAACGTTTCAAACAATTTGCTGTGTTAAACAGAAACTCCGAGTACTTGATTGAATTCCGTGATAAATTCGCTTGCCCGGAATTAGTAAAACCAATCACAAAATATGTCAAACTATAGAAACGATGTAGGCCTGTGGTTAAATTGGTCTATTTCATCTTCCACGTGACCACAATTCTCTGCACAATCCGGCTGACTAAAATAACTCGAAAAGGGGTTTGTGTGAATCAAGTAATTTTTTTAACATTAATGGACACTCAGATCGTGCTTATCTTGTGGTTTCCAATAAATTACAAATTTTACACTCAGTAGCGCTTTATGCCACATGTTCTACAGGGTTTCAAGATTTGAAGATGTTTCTGTTTCTATCAAACTGCACTTTTTGTAAACGAAAATATCACTGCCGACCCATGAACTCTCGACCGCAGACCGATTCATTAAAATGGGGATTCCAACTAGAGTTCATAATGGGAGATCAGCAATCACTTCCCCCACTGTACAGGCCTTCTGGTTGTTGAAACTCTTCAACAGCGTAAGAAGGGTATGCCTTTCATCCGGCTCATCAAGTTGACGTAGTTCCACACTTTTCCTACATTCACCATAGCCCTACTCTTGAAGGATCACGTGATCACGTGATGTAGCCGGCGTGGTTAAACGATGAGAAACGCTTTATCCTGGATACATACAAGTTATGTCAATCGGCTGCATGGTGCCGAGTGTTGAGGGATTCAATAAGGGGGTTGCGTGTCCCAACTCTACTGGATTTTCGTGAGATGCGAAGTGGTTATTACTCCAAAATTATGAAGAGGCTATACGGTACCAATCGACACTTCAGTGTGGTTTGATGTCACTTACGGGCGAAATATTTATTGAAAATGGATTTCGAGAAAAGAAGAGTCTCGAACAGATGGTTTGGTTAAACTCAGATTTAGTGTAGGACACGTGTGATATGCAGCTTCAGTTCGCCAAATAAGTTCACAAAAATGTAGGAGGACACTCAAAACTCAGAGATGTCCTAAAAAATTCCATCAATTCACCGACATATCTGAGTTGATTACAAGATGGCCTCTGTCATCTTTTCCATAATTAAGCTGATGATCTATGAGGGGTTAAGGTGCAAGTGTTTGGTAATTCCGCTTGGCTGGTTTTCCAAATTAGTCACATTGTGTCAATGAAGTTACTGGTCCAATGATTTGGTAAGAACACTCAAAAACCCAAATTTCGAAGTTCAAAGAAAATTTTTACGTGGACCTTTGCTGAGTTCCAAGTAACCTGCAGAAATATACAGCCTAACCGGGTTGTTCAAACATCAACCACGTGTCTGGCCTACGCTGCGTATTTGCGTCTCAGTTCCGTCTTTTATATTATTGAGGATGTAATGAAAGGAAAATTTCGAGTTGGGGCGATGGAACAGACTGAATAGACTGCTCACCATATTAGGGCAATGAATTCATGTGAGCAGCGTCACTAGGTGTGATTTGTCTGTTGGAATGCAATGCAGTAGAACATATAGTTAACAAACATCTATAAAGGGGACCCAAATCTGCCTAACTACGTGTTTTTGGGAAGCACATTTATAACAGTGTAGCTTTTCTCAAGGACGGTTTTAAAAGGCAACCGTCTAGTCCCATGGGACGGAATCATATCAATTCCGTCAACATGTGGTCGGCATTAGAATGTCAACCTAGGCAAACCGTTCTCTTAAACAATTCAGTGAACACGTTGAGTTGATGAATAAAAGACAAGGATCTGGAAAACCTTGTATATATACTCCAACATGAGAGTGCAAACGAAAGGCGAAGACTTTGGGAAAAACGTGAATCTAGTACCCCTTTGTTACCAGGCGAGTGCTCTACCAAATTCGACGAAAAGTCAATACGGAATTAGTGTTTCGTTTTGAAATGATATCAAATAACTTCGGATAGCATGTGGAATTATCCGTCCGATAAAGTTATGTTAAACGCACACTAGGCGCCACGTGACGGATAGAATAGTCGATAATTCTGTGTAACCAGCAACATAAGCCATTTTGACAAACCTACCCCAAGGTCTATTTTATAAACGGCAAAGGTTGTTTTTAAATCCCTATTCAAGATTCCGTTGAACAGTAAAATTAATTAAAGCGCATTCACGCGCAACTGACATTGTTTGAATGCCTTCTGATATTCAAACGCCAAGCAAATCTGAATGTGTCTAGATGATGGGTTGGGGAATTGACCAGGAGTTTTTCTAGGAAACATATGTTTGGTTCCCAGATAACTATACTGGGATGCACGACGACCTAACCACTAGCATTATCAAATTGTTTAAAAACGCAGTAAGGTTTTCTGGAGCAAACGGTATCATTATAACTCGTCCAGGGCTCATTGTAGTGAAGAAACCTACAGCTGAAGCGGAACCTAATTTTAAGAATTATCATAACATCTGCAAGTAATTCTGTAACTCCCTTTAATTTCGCAAATGTTGAAGACGAAATTGAGATTCGTTTTCAGTTTTTGATAGTTTGCCCAGTGAACAAAGGGTGAATTTTTGGTGAACACAATGCTGATCTCAACAAGATTTCGTAATAAATTTGCATCCTAGTTTTCGACAACTACTCTCATCTGCACACTAATTTGGTTGCGACGAAAGACTCAAGTGCACCCAGCTAGACCTCTCTTCCACGATGGCTAGGTAAAACATGATTGACTGAAACTCGGGACTGGGTTCATTCGATTAGTCTCAACAGAGTGAGGACTTTCGCGGGCTGTAGAAGAGTTTTATGCAACCGTATAAGCAGCATGTTACGAAAACTGTATGGGTTCTTTCTGCATAGGGCTTTCGTAGAACTTTGCAGCCCACTTATTTGACCACAACCTTCCGGTGCTTGAGGCTTCGTTATTGAAGGGACTTCAGAATGTTTCCGTGTTGTTGGATTAGCAAGTGACCCTCAAACTGTCTGGGGTCGGAGAGATGTTCACTATTGCAACGGACGCTAGTGATCGCGGTATCGGCGCAGTCCTAGAGCAGAGGAATGGAGTTATCAAATATGCCAGTCACGTCCTAACGCTGAACAGAAGTGCTTGACCATTGAGAAAGAATGTTTAGCGATCGTCTGTGTCCTGGATAAGTGGAGGTCATGTCTGCTTGGACAAAGATCTCATGTCGAAACCGATCACAAACCATTGGAGTGGATCAGGGCGACCAAAGATCCTCGCGGAAAGTTCGCGCGCTGGGCATTCCGGTTGCAAGAGTACGACTTCACAATCCAGCATGTGCCAGGGAAGGAGAATGTCCGAATGTACGTCTCATCACAATTATGACGCAAAAATCGTCCCCAATGCTAATTTTGTGTACATTTTCTTGGTGAAGCGTATGATTTTCTACGATTACTCAAGTTATTTGCTGGTTCTAACACTCCCTGTGTCTCAAAGCAGTCTCACATAGAAGGGTTATCATTGTTCGACCAGTGAACTATATCTTACCGAGTCATTTCAACTACATAACAGGTGATTGTAATCTCCAGTAGCTTCAAAAAGATTTCGTTTTAGTAACAGATCACTTTTCTCATGACAGTCTTTCACGATGAAACGCATGTCTACTGCAAGCTGTTTTTCAGATTACTTTTGGTCCCTTGATGCCATTCTGGTGACTTTGACATCTGGTCTAAATAGAGCAGTAATAAATCATGCAAGGAAGATTGCTTACGCAGTTCAAAAACCGCTAATATCGACAATTCATCTGCGTGGTTTGGAATGGGTGGTTACTTAATACGGTCAATTATACTTTTCTCTGTGTCCATCTTCTCGGTTGCAGATCTTTTTTAGTTTACTGATTTTTGTCGGTGCTTGTCGAAATTTCAAGCCAGAACCACCCGGCGCCTGAAGTTCTTGGCTGCAAGCCTTCCTACAATGTGCTGATAGCAGACAAGGCGCGTGCGACTTGTAAAGGAGTATCAACAGAAAACTCGCTCACAACGCAATTTCTGCCATTCTTTAGCAAGTCTCATACCATCACTTCGAGTTCTTTTTATATTCCCTACGTCAAGAGTGAAATGTGTTCTTCGGTAAAGCAATTAAATCACAATAGTAACATGAGAAATGTGGTAAATTTGAATGAATGCAGAGATAATATATATATTCCATTCACAAGCGTGGAATTCATCTGGCCCACCTTCAAGTTCACAAAATTCCGTCCATCACTTCAAGGGTGGTTACAACCATAAACATCAAAAGTACACCAGCTATAGGCACAACAACATTGAAGAGAAAATGCTTCATTTAAGGTAAAATACGCATACTACTGTCTTCCGTGTTATTAGTAGTTTTTTCGCTCAATACTTGCTTGTAGGCTTTGTTGAACGTTTTTTATTGGAGCACTGATTATCCAATCAAATTATTGAAATCACACTTGGAGTTAATGTGATCGCCTAGCCCTCGATACTCTGGACGGGATGAGTTGCGCTGATAACGACCAAACTGGGATGTAACCACAGTTGTGCTACATTGTTTTGTATGCAAATAATACGGCCACAGACATTTTGGCGTTGCCTGTGCACAGCCTGTTGAAATAAGCAACCTAAAGTAAGTCGCTTAACCGCATTTTATTTTATATCTGTTATCGCAAACGACTTTTCATTAGATGACTTTTTCACTCTGGAGTTTTTAAAGGTCATGCAACTCGAGTAGAGAGCAGTAAGAACATGGGCCTTATCAATGCCTCAATCGGTAAACTTAATGTCCAGTCGTACCGTAGACGTTATGATAAATGCTGGGTAGAAGCAGTGGGAAAAACTAGACTTTTGGACAGGTTATATACGCCAGACAGGCCTATTCATCACACAACAATATTACTGCAGAGAGAATTTAATTACGAATGAAGTCGTATTGGAGGTTCAGTCGAATCCTAAATAGTTACTCTACAAACAAGTGGGTTGATGATTGGAGGTGTGAAGGTGCGCGATGAAGGCTGTGAAGCGTGATCAGTTTGCCGGGTTGTGAAACTGGTCACGATGCTCGAAGCAGACATCGAGATTTCCATTTTGAATAAAGTTTTCTGTTTTTACAAAAAGGTTAGCCCTATGAACGGCAAGACTCATCGTACACAAAGAGTGAAAACTGGTATAAGTTTATAAGTCGAGAATCTTTGAACGATAGCGATACACGGGGCTTGTGATTCCGTCAACGATTTATATCGTTTCACAATCTCTCCGGGCCGTAAATCCAGCCATGACCGATTGAGCCAATAATCAAGTTGTAAGGACTGTATTGAAGACAGCACGATTCTTTCAAGAATTGTAATCATTATGGTTAATCAGGTGTTTGGAGTCATCCATAACATTAGCGAATCAGATTAGTAGATGATGCAAGTAAACCTTGAACGTAAGTTGAGTCGTTGTTCAGGTGAATTATAGGCAGTGTCGTTATTCATTTACGGACATATGTAGAATATGTCGTGCTGCCAACGAATAGCTTGCGCATTCTTATAGGACGGTCCTCGTAGGGCACTGACACAATTAAAATTCAAACCCTACCCTAAAAACTACAAACGATGTCATCTGATTTTGCGTGGCTAGATGAGCGAAATTCTCGTAATCGTCGTAATGAAGAGCGAAAACAGGCCAGAATGTAGAACCGGTAGGACGGTTCTATGGGCACTTTACCGCTCGCTCTGTGCTTTCAGAAGATAAGTAACCGGTAAACAAACTTTGTTGCTGCTTGACAGAAAACCTATCTTCCTGCAGTCAGGAGTCACTCGAAAAGCGAAAATAAGTACGGCGCTCACAATCGCCACATAATCAGAGCGAATTTCCAGTGGTATAGCATAGGTTTATCCAGCGAATCAACCAGAAAAACAACTCATTGGAGGACAGAAAGGAAAACTAGGGTAAATACCCAGGTAGGTAGGTAGGTAAGTAGGTATATAGATATATAGATAGATAGATAGATAGATAGATAGATAGATAGATAGATAGATAGATAGATAGATAGATAGATAGATAGATAGATAGATAGATAGATAGATAGATAGATAGATAGATAGATAGATAGATAGATAGATAGATAGATAGATAGATAGATAGATAGATAGATAGATAGATAGATAGATAGATAGATAGATAGATAGATAGATAGATAGATAGATAGATAGATAGATAGATAGATAGATAGATAGATAGATAGATAGATAGATAGATAGATAGATAGATAGATAGATAGATAGATAGATAGATAGATAGATAGATAGATAGATAGATAGATAGATAGATAGATAGATAGATAGATAGATAGATAGATAGATAGATAGATAGATAAGATAGATAGGTAGTTAGATAGATAGATAGATAGATAGATAGGTAGATAGATAGATAGATAGATAGATTAGATAGATAGATAGATAGATAGATTAGATAGATAGATAGATAGATAGATTAGATAGATAGATAGATAGATAGATTAGATAGATAGATAGATAGATAGATTAGATAGATAGATAGATAGATAGATTAGATAGATAGATAGATAGATAGATTAGATAGATAGATAGATAGATAGATTAGATAGATAGATAGATAGATAGATTAGATAGATAGAATAGATAGATAGATAGATAGATAGATAGATAGATAGATAGATAGATAGATAGATAGATAGATAGATAGATAGATAGATAGTAGATAGATAGATAGATAGATAGATAGAATAATGCTGAGGTTATGCGATGATGATCAAAAACTAGGTATTCATAACTAGCACATGCATCACAATAAATCCACTTGAGAACTGACAATAATTAGTCGATCTCCCAACCGTAGCACTCTTTCGGTGCCTAGCCTCCACGCAACGCGAGGGATACATAAGGGCTCTGATGGTGGCAAGATGTCCGAGCCAGGACTAAAGCGTTCGAATTACCGGGATTGGGATTTATTTACCAACCGTCTGACCAGTATGTTTGCTCTCTGAAAACTGGGTTACCTCGAACCCGCTTGAGAATCGGAGGAGGAACACAATATCTTGTATACGCAACGTTCCCAGGTGGTTCGACTAAGATTTCAGGAGGAACTTTCACGCAAAAATGTTGCGAGTAACACAGGGTGTTGCAGTATGACACAATATTTCAAAGCACGTTTGTTGTACCCCCTCATTCGTGTACGGCAGACTGATTATAAGAGGTAATCTAATGATTACCAGCAAATTTACGGGTAATTAGTTTGAAATGTGTTGCCTCCCGTGTACTACCACAATACTAAAGATTTCAGCGGGCACACAGGATACCGGCGCTGACTTCGCAGTTGCGATAAACGTAAGGACCTAATAAGACTTGCTACCAGGTATGTAGAGCATCTTACCAAATGTGCTATTCAGATATTTGCAAATGTGGCACCCGTTTAAATCCGTTCTTTCTAAACCGGGTTTTCTTCTATCAAATAAAGGCACACCCTCGCAGTCAATAATCAACGTATTCCGACAGCTATCTACATTATGAAGCTGGAAACCTGAATAGTTCAATAAAGCCCAGCTACAAACGCCACAGTCTGTCAAATGAAAGGTCACCGTCCACACAGTCACATAAAACGATAGAACATGTTTAGCCTTGCAGGGCATATCAGGTTAATGGCTGCCCAAGACGGAGAAATTTAAATAAAATCGTTTTTAATCCAGGTGCAAGAGAAATAGACTGGGCGTCCTTGTGGGTATTTTTTACAGTACGTTATTACAGATGGGATCCAGAGTATCCCAATATAACATGGAGCATTCAGTAACCATTGGAAAATACTTCTAAAGACATCCCTGTTAGTAAATGACAGAAGAGAACTTTGAGTAAGCAAAAGATTGCTTGCACAAGATCAGTCGCCAAAGATCCTTAGCGGCGCACGCACGCAGGTTACACAGAAAAGCGGTATGAGAGAGTAGTACCACGAATTCCAGAGGAGTTGGAAGAGTTGGAATTTGGCACAAAATTTTCACATACCCTGCTAAAAAACAATGACACTGAGGACATTCACGCTCGAACCACTGCTAAATTTGGCCAGTTGTGATGATATTATATTTTTAAAAATAAACGTCAAATATCCCGTCAGAATGTTACGTTTCAAATGTCTTTTGATATATATTTTCAGGCTTCTACAGAACGCGTCGATTCACACCCACTCTCGCAAGGATAATTTTGTCTCACCGGTTGAAATCAACCTAGACTCAAGGTTTTTTTTCTCAGCATACCAAAGGTTTATTATTTATTCTTTCGAAGGTTTTGAAGGTTGATGAAAGCGCGTTGG